TGGGCCCCACTGCACGTGCAGACGCAAGTCGTCGCCGCAACTGTCGCCGGTCAGAAAAGAGATGCCGGCCGCCGTCAGGGCCCCGCTGCCGGCCCGCAGGAAGGGGGTGAAGATGCCTCCGTGGCACAGCACCAGGCCCGGGCTGCGGCTCAGGATCACCCCGCTGCAGCTCCACGAGCCCGCCTCGGGCTGCCCGGCCCGGGAGGCGCTCACTACGCAGCCCGCCTGCTCGGCCACCCTCATGGCAGGGCCCCACTGCCGCCCCATGGCCTCCGTGACCGGGCACCCGGGGCTCCCACGCCAGCGAGCGAGCTCCCGAGCCTCAGGGAACGCGCGCAGCACCAGCCACAGTGAGAAGCTAGAGGGGCAAGCACCGACTCAGGTCTTCCGCGTCGAGCCTGATTGGCTAAGCCCCAACTCACCCGACCTGATTGGCTGAGCTCGGGCCGAGCCCTGATTGGCTGCTGATGCTGATCCCGCCCTGCCCCGGTCTCTGGCTCTTCCAACCTGTTGGACGTAGAGTAGCAACTGTCCCCCAGGACTAGCCCCGGGAGACGGACAGGCGTGCGGAGTCACCGGGAGTTGGGAAGAGAAGGGCGGGTCCTCTCCGAGCCTAGTCTTCTCTCTTCTTTTCGCTAGAAATAAGCACTGACGTGGCTAGACCTGTCAGCATCTGCCCAGGTCTAGAGGGGAGTTGGGAAGAGAAGGGCGGGTCCTCTCCGAGCCTAGTCTTCTCTGTTCTTTTCGCTAGAAATAAGCACTGACGTGGCTAGACCTGTCAGCATCTGCCCAGGTCTAGACCACCTTCAGCCTCTGACCCCTGGGATAGATAATACCAGCCAAGGAAATCCTTGGCCGATTCAGTATTTTGAAATTTTGAAAGTAAGCCCTACAGCAATCCACTAGGGGGTATGGAGCTCACAAGATTATTTCTAGTATCTTTTGCTGCCAAAGCTCCAATACGATAAATCTCATAGAAACTGGATTTGCTCTCATTTAAATAACCTTTTAAAGGTCAAGTGTTCGGATCCCCGTACTGGCCAGCCACTAGATAAATAAATAGCCCTGTAAGTGGACTATGATGAACTGTAGCTGAAGTCAAATATTTTAATCACACAACCCTATATTTTACAGTATGCACATTTCACATGGCATTTATAACCACCACATAGGATTTATTTAGGCCAGGGGCCAAACATTTTTCCTATGAAAGGCCAGAATGGAAATAGTTCAAAGTTTTGCGGGCCACACAATCTCTGTCTCAAATACCCAGCTCTGCAGTTGTACCACACAAGAGCTAAAGGAATGATGGTGACTGTGTTCCAATAACTTTACAGACAAGGAAATTTAAATTTCATATAATTTTCATGTATCACAAAATAGCATTCTTTTAATTTTTTCTTCAACCATTTAAAAGTGGAAAAACCTTTCTTAGTTCATAGGCCATACAAACACAGGCAGCAGGCCAGATTCAGCCCACAAGCCATAGTTCGCCATCTCTATGTAGGCTAACATATAATTTCCCTACTTTTCCAAAGTATCCTTGAGCACAGAGAATCCTGAACAAGCATGTTTGGGGAGCTTTGTGATACCTGTAGAGCAGTCACCACAGCTAGATGTTTTACAAAGGTCTGCTTGATTACTATCACTAAAATACACATTAATTTTTAATAAGATTACTATAGTACATATCTATGTCAGTATTCATGAAAAAATGTTCAATTTCTACTTCAATTACATAACCTGTCTGAATTGTTTGAATAAAATTAACTCTGCCTGGTTAATTTTTATCCCAGCACAACACAACGCTGCTCCCAATCCTCCCAGTGCCACAAATCTGTTTCAAAGGGAAATGATTGTCCATGATAATATGAGGCAGGACTGAAATTAAGCAGTCTTCCCATAGCAGGTACTGTCTTCTTTTGGTTCTGTGACACAGAAGATGGCTTGATCACAGCAAAATCTCTTAAGTATCCCAACTTCCTAGCAATTAAGAATTTCCCTCTCTGGAGTCCAGTGATTCTCCCTTAATGACGCTCAAGCCTCCAGCATGAACTGTTATGCATCAGGTTTTTCTGTGTTTACAGCAGACTGCAGTACAGAGAAGTCCCAAGTCACACCCAACAGCAGTCATGGTGAGACCCCTTAAGTGCTAGGCTCTTAATTCAGCCTTTTTAATATTCATGCTCCACTCTGCTTCAAACAAAACAAACCCATTTACCCACAGACCCCATGGCACCCTTTCAGTTAATAGGGACAACAGGACACCTCCATTAACTTAATACTTGGCTTATAAGAACCTGTTGCATCAGTTGGTGAGATCACAGTGTTAAAACACCAAGGTCAAGGGTTCGGATCCCCATTCCAGCCAGCCACCAAAAAAACAAAAAAAGCCATTGCATTTTGTTTCCCATTCTATTTGTCCCAAAACTTCTGAATCTCATGTGGGGTCTTCTAAAAGCAAGGCTTCCTACAAGCTTAGTAAATGCACAAGCACAGATTCCCTCCCTTATCTTGCCAAATGTAGCATTCAATTGATTTCCTCCAATTTTGTGTAAAATGATGAGTAGAACACAGCTAAACTGGACCCAGTCCTTGTGAGCACATAAACAAGATTTTGCTCAAACATCTGCCATCCCCATGCTGTTGCAGAGATGACCAAAACCCTGGATCCATAGCATGTTCCAGGGGTTCTCAGATGGTATTAAATTTATTACCTCTAGTGGCCCAGCCTCCCCCCACCCCCCACAGCAAAATTAATGTCTCTCACATCCACCCTAAATGCTTTGTCTTATATGTAGGGAAGAACTTTTGTCTCCCCTCACCCCAAACAAACGACATTGTATATTCAAACTCAGAATAAACCAATAAAAAAAAAATAACAAGTTTGTTTTAACTTTTTATTAAAATGCTTAGGATACAGACTTTGTTTTTTGTAAATGACTTTTACTTTTCCTGAAATAGGACATATGTGCACTCTGACAAGACAGAATGAAAAGTCTCAATTCATGGGAGTTCCTGTACAAGGCTCTGATCCTCTGTTTGGAGCTGAGCTCCTCACAGCAGCTTCTTTCAACTATCTTATTATAGGAATGGTGTTCTGTGGGGCAAGAAATAGACTGGTGCTACTTGACTTTTCAATTCCCTCTTTCTCCAGTGGCCAAAATAAACCACTTTCACAAAGAGCTGCCCTATGTAGAACCCACAGTTTTCTAGCTTGCTACAAAGTGATTAGGGACAAATAGGAAAAAACGAAAACAAGAAAACTAACACTGAAATAATCATACTCCTCATGTCTCTGGATAGAGAAGTATGGGTAACCTTTAGCCCAAGGAAATAAGAACTATGCAAGTTAACTACTTAGTTCACTCATCACTAGCTAGATTTGTTCACTTAAGGCTTTAACCCCTTTCCAAACCAACAATTTTGTCTTAATCCAGCTATGCTTGCTAATAAATGAAATGCATGTACTTCCCAGACTTACACTTCACACAGCCTCTGCATTTGGTACCTGGCAGTGAAAAAAGTATATTTTCCCAACAGGTTAGTACTAAACTAAGAATGAGAAATCCAACTAAAGAACAATACTCTCTCACCCCAGGAATATGTTATCCACACTTTTCCTACCCTCACACTAGAAGGAATCCACTTGATTTAGTTCAATCCTCTGCAAAAAAGCATCATTATCATCACATTTTTCAATTCTGAGGAAACTACCTCTAATCTTTAATTAAAGGAAAAATGAATAAACATATCCTCCTGTCTTAAAACCATCTCCTTTCATCTTTTCATCTTTTACTACAAGGGTAAAATATAGGTTAAGATCATGAAAATCCAATTTCACACGTGGCACTAAGAAAATGGAATGCTGTAAAAATAATCATCATCATCACACAAGTGGGGATGCAGATGTTTTTATACTGGGCGTTTACTGACAATAAGTGATGCTTCCTCCAAAGGAACAGCTCTACGGAAAGTTCTTGGGTTAGTGTTTTCCCCAGCTTATTATTTCTGGAATGGAGAAAGGCAATTTCATAACAAAAAAAATCTGGAAAAGTTATAGATGTTAACCTTTACTTACACACCAACAAAATAGATAACCCATAAGGAGAAAAGATGTAAGAAAAAGAACTCATCAACAGCCCAATAAAGAGACCAAATTCTGCAAGTGGAAATTTTATAGTTCACTGATTAAATCTTTCCTAGATTCAAACAAGTCCTATAATACCAAGTTTTTAAGTCCTCAACTCACAGAATTAAGAGCCTTTAAGCTGTTAACTTTGTCTTCTGTCCTCCTATTCAGAAAATTTTCCCTCTTGAATCTGTGCAAAAGTAACTGAGACACACCTGCAGCATGTGACAACATGAGATGCAAAAGTTACTTTTTGTAACTGAAAATGAAAAAGGAAGGTGTTATAGAGAGAACTGCAATTTCACATCAGTATAAAAGCAAAGACTGGCTGAAATTTGTAACTTTACAAGTAAAAATAATAACAATAACCCACTCTATAATGAACTCCTCCACAGTGAACAGTCTGCCCCACATTTCATGAGGAATGACCCTGGCTTACCACAGTAGAAACCTGCTGCAACTGTGAGGCCAGGGTTCTGCCCCTTTTCTAGTTCTCTGTGCACAAGGTGATGCCACTTACTACAAGGCAGTTATAGAGACAGGTGAGCTCAGGGGAGCTTCTCTCACCAACCTGCTAACCCAGCAGGAATAAGTTTACCCAGCTGAGCTCTGGCCTCCCACGTTTATCTGTTCATAATTTTAGGAAGTATCTAAATGCCATTTACTAGTTTAAAAAAAAAAATAGAAAACTCTGGACCAAGTAAATTGTGAACTCAAAAGGTTAGGATAGATACCAATTATGTTAACAATACTTTCTTTAAAAAATAGAATCACTTTCTTTTGAAATCAACCACAGTGGTGAGACGTGTTTTTCTTTTCAGGTACCCCATGATGGCACACAGCTTTTCCAGGCAAATCCTGCCAGCTTCCAAGTTCCGGGATACTGACCTGCACCAGCACGTGGGGCAGCATTACCTCCCAACAGTGTGAAGAGCACATGTCACCACTGGGCGATGAGAGAGTTGACAGAGACTCTTGGCTTCTCAATGCCAGACACGGTTGGAGAGCTTTCCTTGTTCTATTAGAAAAGTTCATGAGGAAGCTGTGAATAGGATCAGTCCAGAGAAGTAAAACTCTTTATTTTCATTGTCCAAACATCAGTCAATATACTGGGAGAGCCAGCGGAAGCCCTCGC